ACAATTAAATAATACATCACTGTACCCATTATATGTACCACCCTACCATTAAATAATACATCACTATACCCATTATATATACCACCCCACAATTAAATAATACATCACTATACCCATTATATATACCACCCTACAATTAAATAATACATCACTATACCCATTATATATACCACCCTACAATTAAATAATACATCACTATACCCATTATATAAACCACCCTACAATTAAATAATACATCATTGTACCTATTATATATACCACCCTACCATTAAATAAGACATCACTATACCCATTATATATACCACCCTACAATTAAATAATACATCAGTATACCTATTATATATACCACCCTACAATTAAATAATACATCACTATACCTATTATATATACCACCCTACAATTAAATAATACATCACTGTACCCATTATATATACCACCCTACAATTAAATAATACATCACTATACCCATTATATATACCACCCTACAATTAAATAATACATCACTGTACCGATTATATATATCACCCTACAATTAAATAATACATCACTATACCCATTATATATACCACCCGTGAAGGATAAAAATTTTGAACTTAAAATCTCAAACTTGGCCAATAAGTGTATATTCATCGGGGCTATGCCAAATCCCCCCACCCCCACCTCCTCTTGGTGGCGTGAACCGCCACTACCCCCCTCCCCCCAACCACATCCCCCCAAAAAAAGAAATCTCACCTCTGTGGTAAAGATAAGAGAAACTAGAAACATCATTAAACACATGATACCAGTTATAACTGATCTTTTCTTCCACGACATTACTCCTATAATATCTACCACCGTCGTCACTCCGATTTCTACATTTACAAACTACAAATAACAAATACAAAATACACTTTTACAAAATCAAAATAACAAATACAAAATACTCATTTACAAACTACAAAATAACAAATAAAAATACATTTACAAACTACAAACTACAAAATAACAAATACAAAATACTCATTTAAAAACTACAAAATAACGAATACAAAATACTCATTTACAAACTACAAAATAACAAACACAACAACTCATTTACAAACTACAAACTACCAAATAACAAATACAAAATACTCATTTTAAAACTACAAAA